ATAAATTCTTTAAAAAAAAGGTAAAGACATAATAAAAATGACCTTAAAATAGCTTAGCATTATCTGTGGTAATAACCACTTATAATATTAGTGATAAAAATAAGAAAAATAGTTATAATTTTTTATAAAAAAAAAAAATAGATGTACAAATGTTCAATTAATGCAACCTGCGGGGTGAACCAAAAATTTTCTTTTTTCCTACAAAATACAAACAATCGTAACATCCAACAATCACCACCACCAGACAAGCAGGACTATGACTGACTGATTATCCCCATCTAATCATTCGAACTCAATGTCTATCTCCATGGCAACTCTATCTCCCAACCTCCACTTTACCTGCAGACGGACCCTGTTTCTCGGCCCCAAGAGACCTCACTACCTCCTTCTTTCCACCCCAAAGTCTTTACCTGAAAATGGAGCTGGAATTTCTGTTTCAGCTGCCGCTGTTGAAGACTCAAGACCCCAAACGAAGGTCTCGGAGCTCAAGGAGGCTGCGGAGAGTTCTGCCTTGCCAAACGGGGTTCCGACTGCATCGGAACTCAAGGCGGTGAGCACTTTTGAGGACCCCAAGTGGGTTGAAGGTACTTGGGATTTGCAGCAGTTCAAGAAAGAAGGGAAGATTGATTGGGATGCCATAATTGACGCTGGTGAGGTTTCTAGTTTTTATTTTATTTTAAAGTTTCATGCTATTGGTGTTCCAGGAAATTGAGAAGCATTACCAATTTTGTGTTATATAATATTGAAAATTTTAATTTTCTTTCCTTTCTGGACTGCAAAATCCAGAACAGCATAGAACAGTAAGGCCAGAGTCCTAAAGTTACAGTCTTTTACATGGTATGTTTCCTTTCCAATTGAAAAGTGGCTTTCCTGCAACTTCCACATAAGTCATTTCCCTGAAACCATACCAAGTTTCTCTTCTTCTGTCTTCTTTGTTGATAAGATAGGGAAAGTATGATAATTCAATTTCAGAAATATGAGGAAAGAAAAAGATATTAGTAGCCATTCTGTGCGGATTGTGAATTGAATTATCTCATAGAAGTGTAAATTGTGTTATTGTTAGTGATTTTGTTTAAATTCAGACGTTGACAGATTTGTTAGCGAAAAATCTTGGATTTATTGTTTCATCTTAGACTTCTACTTAACAGTTTCTTTTAGCTGAGACTTCTACTTAGCATTTGCATAGATATCTCTCTTTAGGGGTCAGGAGAATTGGTTGAGATGAATGTGACTGCTTGATAAGTGATTGCTTATCTATATAAACTTTTACTCTTTGATTATTTTATCCAAGTTTCTAATGGACTTCCTTGTATGATCCTTTTAGAGGCTAGGAGGAGAAAATGGCTTGAGAATAACCCAGAATCAACCAGTAATGATGACCCTGTTCTTTTTGATACCTCCATCATACCTTGGTGGGCATGGATGAAGAGGTTCCATTTACCTGAAGCGGAATTACTTAATGGTTTGTTAAGAATTCTTCCTTTTTTCTAACTTTCTTTTGGTTCTTGCTTTTCTGTAAAGAGGGATTTTCCTTTTTGCAACGTGGATTGGAGAACAAGGCTGCACTGCTAGCATCTTAATTTGGCCATTTTGTGAGTTTTTCTGCAGGCCGTGCAGCAATGATAGGGTTCTTCATGGCTTATCTGGTTGACAGCTTGACTGGAGTTGGTCTGGTTGATCAAATGGGCAACTTCTTTTGCAAGACTTTATTGTTTGTTGCTGTAGTGGGAGTTCTTCTCATTCGAAAGATCGAGGACATAGAAAACCTTAAGAAGCTGATTGAAGAGACTACCTTTTATGACAAGCAATGGCAAGCAACCTGGCAAGATGACAACTCTGGCAGTCCCAAGAATGACTAGGAGAATTGCAATTCTTGGTTTGTCATTTTAGCCTTTTACATTCTCTCTCTTTCCCCACTTATTTTTATTGCAAGTCTCCCATTTTGTGAAGAAGCAGGATGTTAGTCGCTTTTCACTCCAAAATGTTCACTTGAGTTTTTGTTGTTATATTGCTAATGAGATGTTTGCATATTAAGATGTAAGCAGGTGGTAGCGTACCATCATGCCTTACCTAGTTATTTAACATTTGGAGCAGCTATTGCTTGCTCTTATTTATAGCATATAAGGATCATTGTCTTGTTATCTCATTTTTTTGGATTTGAGAAAGAGAAGATTTGCAGAGGGCTGGATGGATACTTGAATGATTAAATCACTCCCAATTCTCTCAATTGAGTAGCTCAAGCCACCCTCCCATTCTCAGGTTGCAGACTTGCAGTCATGAGTTTTGCACCCAGCATCAATATTATTATTAAAAGCTTTATTCATCTTATTATTCTTAAACTTACAATTCCACCTTCTTTTGAGCGCACGTAAATTCTTGGACGAAAAAACACAGTTTGGCTGGTTACTTGGTCAAGAAGTTTGTGGCTTTTGTAGCCCAAAAGAAAAATCAGCATGGTAACTCACCCACACAGAAACGCAGTTTGGTAAAGTTTTTAACGAGATAACTTCAATGGTACAACTTATCAAGAAAAACCAAAAATGAGTACAATTTATTATTACAACTTATTTATATATAACTTCAATACATAAAGCTCCTTCAATTTTTTGTTTTTCAACCCAAACCTATTGGCAATACCTATCCAAACTACAACAAACACAGTGGAGTTTTACATAATAATAATAATAATAATAATAATAATAATAATAATAATAATAATATTATTATTATTATTATTATTATTATTATTATTATTATTATTATTATTATTATTATTATTATTATTATTCTTTGAAAATAGGCAATGTTACAGTTATTGATCCAATGGCTCTATACTAAGAACTTCTATGTTATTGCCATAAGAATCATTACAAGTTACAACCAGGTGCTTTGATGACAACTTGATCTTTGTAGTGCAATTTCCCAAAGGTTGGGGTGATATGATCAATCTCAAAAGCTTTAAGGTGCGTTAGTTCAAGAGCACAATTATGCCATTTATTGTAATTACCTTCTGTACTGCACCATATCTAGAATCCGCAAGTCAAAATTACCTAATTGGATGATAAATATTATAGCATATATGCTAAAGAAAGACAATAACAAACATAATCTTCAAACAATTCAAAGACAGAATAATAAATAGTTGAGCACAAAATTGATATGAGACATATGCCTTTGAACGATCTTTGGTAAAGTAATAACAATTGATTTTAATCAACTTGCTGTCACTAGTCTTCTCAACAATCAGGACTTCTTTAGGATCACATGCAAGGACTTTCTAGATAGAAAAAGGTTTCCATTCCCAAACATATTTATAGAGATTAAAGTGTTTCACAATTGGACTAGGTTAAAACTTCATCTTTGCCTTTTTCTTTGTCCATATAGGTCCAAACTTCTACGAAACTAATAAAAAATCAAACTCTTTGTCCTAATGGGAGAAAAAAAATTCAATAGGATGGGTTGTTAAAAATTCTCTTATATCTTAAACACAAACCAAGCCTTAAAAATCAGACAACCATTTCATATCATGGTTAGCATAGGTCCACAACTTTTCGAGTCAAGGTCTCAAGTCAAGGTCCACAAACTCACTCACAAGTCCCTACTTACAAGCACAAGCCCAAGCACAATTAGAATTATGTCCTTATCAAGTCCAAGCGTGATCAGAACTAGGCCCATTGCCACCTCAAGTGATGTGCGATCTACATTATTATTGGCCGTGATGGTTAGCATAGGTCCACACTTGTGATAATCTAACTTTTATGAGCTAAGATTCACGGGCCCTTAAAAACTCAAACACAAGTTGTTAATAGTGGTTGGTCTTCACATTTATATATCAGATTGACCTACAAGTCCCCATCGATGTGGGATTCGGAGTGTTACAATTTGATAGCAGCAAGACCACCCTTCAACAAAGTAGTAAGTGAAGATCTCCAAGTAAACTCTAGCCCACAATCTGAGCTAATTAAAAATGAATTCTATAAATCAACATGAATTAAAAGCATATTAGACAACTTTAATTACCTTCTAACTTGATTAGAATCGCTCTACATAATAGCAAGCTAACAGGGTGATTCTAAGGGGGTTAGAAGGTAATTAAAGTTATCTAATATACTTTTAATTCGTGTTGATTTATAGAATTCATTTTTAATTAGCTTAGATTGTAGGTCGAACTTTACTTGGAGGTCTTTGCTTACTACTTCATTGAAAGGTGGTGTCGTTGCTACCAAATGCTCTGATCTGATTGAGTGCTACTAGTATTTGATTAAAGATTGGGCAAAGAAGTTGAAGAAAAGTCATGAAATAAGTGAAGACTTTCTGGAGGTTAAGGTGATTGACACAACTAACAATGGGATCAAAGCCAGTGTTCATTATGAATGCCACGTGGCTGTTGTTCATTCCAAATTAGCAGGCATGGTTGATTATATGGACGAGGTAGAGGTTGTTGTTTTTGTCTTGCTTAAGCTTGTGAGATTTTCTAATTTGATGTATATGGTTCATCCAAAAGCTAACACCATTGAGGTGCTTTGTTTTTTCGTGGATGAGGCAGTGGCTTTTGCTGGAATTACTTGTTGCCGTGGGGTGATGAAACTAGAAAGGCTAGCTTGATATTTAGAGCTTATGAGAAATTCTACAATATTTGTCCTTTTAGCATTATATGTCCATCCATTACATGTGCACAACACATTCATTTAATAAGAAATTCTTCAATATACAATAGACAGTGATAGATGCGTTGGCAGTGTAGTTTAATTTGGATTTTAATATTTTTTAAATCAATTTAATTTAATTAATTAATTAAATTTTATTAGAATAAATGAAGTATGGGTAAAATTTCTATACTTACCTTAATAAGTCAAGAAAATCTCTTCTCATTTGGAGTTGGGATTTTTAATCCAAATTTGATTTAAAGTCTTGAATTTATGAGCCAAGTTGTTGTATTTAGTTAAATCCTAAGTGTCCAAAATAATAATTTGATTGAAAAATCAGATCTTACTTCTTTTTTCTTTTTTTTTTCTTTTTTTTTTTTAATTTATTGCTGCTTTAGGTTGTTGGTATTGCTAGGGGGTCTACAAAGGTAAGTTAATGGGTTGAAATTTTTATTTTCTACTTACGAATCACATGTACTATTTTATTAGAATATATAATTCTTGGTTCAATGCACTTCAAGAGGGGGATGAGTTGGAGTTGGAAAATTTTCACCTCTTTGCAACCACCAAATAAAAATTAAAGAGAGAGTAGGAAATAAGAGCTTGCCAAATGATTTTATAGAGGTTTGGTCCAACCCCTAGTCCTTTACCTTGACTTCACTTACCAAGGATCTCCTCCATACTCTCCACTAAGAAAAACAAGAGCGGCTTAAAAGAGCCACTTAATCCTTTTACAAGAAATGTGTTTCTCTCTAATCTCACCCCTTTACAAGTTAAATCCTAAGAATCCTCTCTACAAATTACTCTTGAAAGAATAATCACACCCCTAAGATAACACACAAGTAGAACAAGAAGAGGATTACAATCAAAGATCACTCAAAGATAAAAAACTCAAGTTAAAACACAAGTTGGTAGGTAAAGATATTCAATACAATGCTCAAAAACTTATTCTAAATCTGCTACCAACCATATTTATAGCCCTTTAGTCGAAAATAGCCATTTTTAACTGTTGGGTGTCATTCGAAAATAGCCATTTTTAACTGTTGGGTGTCATTAAATGCTCTGCAAATCATGTAAGTTCGAATTGCAGACTTGTCAGTAGAGCCGACTTTAACTCCAGAGCTGGCTTTACAGAACCGACTTTATAGAGCTAGCTTTGAATTATAGAGTCAACTTTGCAACCTTCCAACGCATTTTGTTTTTCTCAAGAGCCAGCTACAAAAAATGTAAAGCAGGCTTTGGAAATTCAACTTTAAAAAGATTAAAGAATCTTTAAATAACATGATTGTTGTGCATTAAATGTGCTATCATAGCCGACTGCAAAGTTAAAGCCGATTTTACATCCGTTTTCCACGAGTGCTAAGCCGCAAGTTAAAGGTTCTAAAGCCAGCTCTCTGTAGTTTTGTTCACCAAAGCCGGTTACGAATTCCTAGAGTCAGCTCTCTACACAATTTACAGGCTTTTTGGTTTAGTTTAGTACAATACAAGTTCACTTAATTTTGTAATCTTTTGAAAGTTCAACTATACACTTAAATGAACCAATTAATTACTTAAATGTATTTTATAATCATCAAAATCATAAGTACAACAATAATAAGTTGTAAAATCAATTCTTTCATGAAAATGGAAAATTTGTCTAATGACAACGAATTTAGACCATCCAAAAGGTTGGGCAGAAGTATGTTATTTTATTTTTTTTAGTTAATAAATTACTATATGGATTTTCCTTTTGATGAGCTTATTTTTAGTTTTGTTATCTGTTTAGGTGGTGATATATTTGGTTAATTTGTTGAGGAAGTGATGTATATATTATTTTAAGTTTTGCAATTATTGTCTTGAAATTTTTGTAAAGTACGTATTTTTTGAGTTTTTTTTTTCTTAATTAATATGTTGAACAATGTTTAAAAAGAGTAATTGTTTATATAACTTCTCATTGATGTTGTCTTTTTGCAGTTTTTCTAATTTTTTCTCCTTAATTTCCTTCTTCTAGACACAACATGCATTGAATCAATTTCTCTATGCATGTGACGTTGCTGTGTATTCCTCTTCTACCTTTGTGATTATTGAAAATCTTTTGTCAATTGAAATTAATTAGTAATTACTTTTAATCAATATAACCAATGAACAATCTAGGTGTAAAGGATAATAAAAGTTAGGAAAAACTCCAATAATACAAAATTATTCAAACAATACCATAATAATAATAATAATAATAATAATAAAACAAAGAGAAAGAATAAAAAACACTTTTCAATGTAATAAAAAATAATGTAAAACATAACTGTAGAACAAAAGACAACAACCAATAGATAATATAAAATTTTCATAATCTCATTTTGTTTATTGATTGAATTATTCAGAAATAAAGTATATTTTAGGGTAATAGTCATTTGATCATAAATTGAAGGTCAAAGTTTAGAACTCTCACTCACACAAACAATCCTATTCCAAAAAATTTATCTAGAAATCAAAAAACTCAACTAAGTATCCAATATAATGTTTAACATAATGAAATTCTTTTATGAAATTCTTTTATAAAATTCTCATGTCTTCAATCAATACTTCCCAAAACACAATTAAGTTCAATACATTTTCACATTGCATACAATACATAAACTACAAACTCGTAAAGTAGAATTATAGCTAAGAACTAAGCTTTTGATTGATAACCAAAACTATTTTAACATTTTAAGGAAAAAAAGAGTCACATTTTAGGATCTTACAGGAACATGGAATGTTGCTAATTATTTACCCGTGCACATCTCCAAATTCCTTCCTTCATATCAATGTTGTTTTGTGGCACACCCATTTTAGAGTTCTGTCATAAAACAAAAAATGGCACAAAAAAAAAAAGAAAAAGAAAAAGAAAAAGAAAAATCAAAGGGTAAAATATAATTCTCGAACATCAAGAATCATTTTACATAATTAATTTCCTCAAGTTGGCTCAATTATATCATAAAAAATTCAAAAATATAAAAATTTATAATTTTATCAAGAGAGCTAACTAGATACCCCTAAAAGTCCTAGGAAAAGGTTGCTATAAATAACTTAAAAATCTTGTCGACCAAATTAATCAAGTAAGCAAGCTATAAATCGAAACTCCTGCCATAGAGATTCTATCATACGTCCACTAATAACAAATTCCATTGTTTTCAGTGTCCAAACAAATATAAACACAAAATAAAATAACATTCCTTGCAACTTTAACAACAAAAACAATCAATAAGAAATTAATCAAACAACCTTAACCAAAGAGAATAAAGAAAATAATAGAGAAGAGTAAGCTTGATTTTGGGAGGTGGATTTTGCTAGTAAATTATTCATCTCAATTGTATGTAAATGATTTTCCCATATGATTAAAAGCATTACAACATCCAAATGATATTAAATGGAACTAAAGCATAGTATGAAAGATTACATAACATGAAACCCCAGCAAAACAGGCCTTTTTCCAACCCTCTTGATCTCCCTATCCATTTCCCAGTGAGCATTAATCCAAACCTCTTGAAATCATATAAAGAAGACTTGATTAATTGATGCCCCTACGTCACTGAAATATTCCCCCCAATAAAGAAATGGTTGTTCTAAGCAAGTATGTATTTGAACTTTGTAAGTAAGATAATATTGCAACCAAAGAAATCAACTAAAATAAGTATAATTGTAAAGATATCCATGTAAAAACACATGCATAAAAATAAAAAGCTAAAAAAGATTAGAAAAAGTCATACTTCTTTGTCTTGAATTTATAAGCATGTTATCCACAATTTGTCCAATTAATAGCAACAAAAATATACTAAGAAAAAGAAGGAGCCAAGAGGGAGCCATATTCACTACACCTAAAGGGAAACCATGACAGCAAGAGATAGCATAAAGGGGAAAAAAAAGATAATGAAAAATGCCAAGGCAAAAGGAAGAATATTAGTAAAATGAAAAAAAAAAAAAAATAAATTCCCATCTAGCATCAAATATGCATTTACCCAAATATAAATACTTGCAAGCACAATCACATACCATCAACAATAGCCACAAAATACAAACTTCACAATTACTCGTAGCAATAACAATAAAAATCTACATCGAACAAATTTGCATATAACATAAGTAATTTTTATCAAAATACAATGCTTAGGCGGATAAGAAGAATACTGCCATTAGAGTAGTGCAAAGAGAACATTAGCTGCCACAGAAATAAACGAAATATAAAGTTATAGGTTTTACTTGGCCAGATGACGGCTTAGGTTTTCTGGCCATCTCACTTGAATCTTGCCAGATCTTACACTCTCTTAACCTCCTCATGCATATATATATATATATATAATGTGTATATATATGAGTTTTTTATTTTACAATTTAAATTATATTAGATTTTAAAATAAAGAACAATGTTAATATTATGATGTTTTATTTAAAAAAATCTTTATTGTATAGCGTATCATAATTTTGTATAACAAGTTAAGATGTAGTTCCCTTGAAGGGCATAACGAATTCTTGCTTTATGGGCTTCTGTTCCTTTGGTTGATGAATGAGTTTTAGGCCTGCAAAAAAGAAGGCCTATAATAATTGTATACAAATTGTAAGCCTATTATATACGTATGTACATATACACGTAGGGTGAAAATTTTTCTCAATCTT